AATAAACCATAATAAAACCGTTAAAAAAAAACTATTTTTTTTTAGTTTAATGAATTTCTAAATAAAAGACCGCTTCCTTTTAGACACACTTTTATTAGCAAATAATAAGGAAGAGATTGTGTCGTTAAACTTTTTCTAGAGTTATCTTTTGACTGGGTGAATATAATCAGTAACTTCTTCCATAGAAATTTTATTATAATGGTGTAAATTTAATGTATATATTTTAGCTTTGAATAAAAAAAAATGCCTTAACTCGAACTAATTTTTCATAACAGCCAAACGGAATTCGATTTAGCCGAGTTCCCTATAACTCAAACCCTAGAAGGTTCGAGTTATTGGGAATTAACTGTACATTCTATGTATAATTACATTACATATTTAAACCTTAGTTACATTATGTAATTAAGGATTTATTTGCAAAAAATGCTAAAAATAAATTTTAAATCGATGTTAATTGTATCATAAATACTTTTATTGCTGAAAAACTAAACAACTACTTGGTTAGCATTTGATAAAATTAGTGTTCGTATGATTAAATTAGTATTTAATGTGATTTAACCTTTTTGATATCACGTATTGTAGCTCTTATTTAAGTTAGGAATTGTTTCTGAAAAACTTAAAATTGCATGTATAACACCAATTTTAAAAATATATTAAATGTTTTCAAAATAGTTTTTCAAAATTGCTCAAGAGAACGTAATGTAAAATAGACTCTATAATTATCTAACAGAGAACGGTATTTTAAATTGCAGACAGTTTGGTAGTTTGGTATAAAAAAAAGTTCCTATAAAACATAGGGGGAAGCGGGGCAACATGGCGAATGGGGCAAGATGGGTTTTCACATAACAATTCAACAAAAAAATTTTAAAATTGGGTGAAAACGAAACTGTATTTGCATCTTGTATTTTAAAACACCAATTGGTTTTTTGAAATATTATTAACGCCATTTTATACAAATATGTTTACTTTTTGCGCTTAAAAAAAAATTCCTCACTTTCGGTTTCTCATAATGGTTGGTGTCCTTCAAGTTTAACTTCTTTAGAAGTAGTTTTAGCAATTTGTGTTTATTTTTTGTTACTTTAATTAGAGTTATTAGCAGTTTTTGAAATTTTATAAAATTGAAGGTAAAAATTGCATAATAAGTCATCTTGCCCCGGTCACGTGACCAGATGACAAATTTATGAAGTTTTTATTTTAATATTTATTTCAAATTGTTATATTTGCAAACTGAAAATTCATGCAGGCAATGAAAGAACTTAATAGCATAAACATACTGAGAAAGTATTATGGCTTCACGACTTATAGTTTTTCAATAACTCAGGGCTTTCAAAACGTTCGCCATGTTGCCCCACTTTCCCCTATAGTAGTAATAATTTCCTATTCAAATACCTAAAGCATTTATATAATGATTATTTTCATTAGGAGTTTTTGTTGGTCTGTCAAAAGCTTTTGGTTCTGTAAATCATGATATACTAATGAAACCCCTTAAAAACTATGAAGTGAAAAACAAAAACTTTCTTTAGTTTATAAGGTATCTGGCAAATAAAAAGCAGTTTGTATACATTGATCAAATTTTTACAGTTTTATACTGCACAATTTGTGTGTTCCTCAGGACTCTATTTAAGGACCGCTTTCATTTCTATTGTACATAAATCAATTAAATTTAGCAATAAATGTATTCCAATTCTTTTTCTTCTCACAGAAATGTTAAAACGCTTTTTTAAATAGTTAACAAGCACTTATCGATGGCATTATGCACAGAAGTGTTAAGTGCCGCAGATGTGATTTTACAGGAGAAAATTTTGAAAGTAGTAGACTAGTAACAGTTTAGTAGACTCGTAACATTTTAAACGATTATTAGACTCGTAACATTTTAAACGATTAGTAGACTCGTTACATTTTAAACGACTAGTAGACCCGTAACATTTTAAACGATTAATAGACTCGTAACAATTTCTTGTACACTTACCATATTCGGGCACAATAATGTTCGAAAAACTATGACAATTTTTGTTTATTTAGCTCTTTATTTTACTAATTTTATTTTACTTATTTGACCAAATGTTGTATTTAACACTTCTGTGCATAATGCCATCGTTGTTTAAAATTTAACACTTCTGTGCATAATGCCATCGTTGTGTAAAATTAATGAGTGGTTCAAAGTAAGTAGCAAACTTTCATTGAATGCAGATAAAACCAAGTATATACTTTTCCATTAAGCAAACAAACCAGATATTCTTATAAAATTACCAAATTTTTTAACTATTAAAATTTAAATTAAAACGGAAACACTTGTAAACTTTTCAGGAGTGATATGTTGTATTCACATAATAATAGCATTGAGGGTAAAATCTTAAAAAATATTGCAATTATATTTAGGGCTAAACATTTACTAAATAAAACATCTCTAAAAAATTTATATTTTGCCATTATTCATTGTTATTTGGCTTACTGTAATATTTGGTGTGGTAGTACTAACCATACAAAGAAACTCTTTAATAACAACAACAAAAATATGCGTGTAAATCAGTATTTGGAGCCAACCGAATTGTTACTTGCGAACCACGTGTGCTCGGAGCATAAATTTAACTTAAATCAAGATTTATAGTTCATATTTATAAAAAAAATGGTATTGTCTTCTAAAGTATTTCAATCTTATTTTGATAAAATTTACCATAAGTTAACCATAAATACCCTGTATTGCACGAATTAAGAGAAATATGAAAATTAAATTTTGTTTTGCCTGAAATTATAATAATATATTATGTAATTATATGAAAAAAAAAATTCTTTATGTCAGGGGAGTTTGGGGTTTGCTAATTTAAAGCAATATTATGCAATAGAGGAAACACAAAAAATTTTAACATAATTTTTTTCTTACTAACGTCTTGCGAAAATCTTTAAAACAATTAGGTTTAGGTGTAAAACGCATATGTACTTCTCACAATTTCTTACAATAAACCTTAGCGATGCCATCACACCCAGGTTTTTACATCGCCCTTTTTATTTCACTAAAGATAAGCCAATGATCAATGCTATCAATTCTAGTTTATAATCTATAAAATTCAGGAAGTAATACAACAGGACCTCTTTTCTTTTTCCAACAAGGAGATTTTTTACTGATTTTGATAAACGACCTCTTTTGTTTTTCCCCACAATTTTTCCGGCTTTCATCAAACCATTGGCTACTTTTAAATTGAATACTGGAATAAGATGAAAGTAATGTTATTCCTCTATTATAGAACCATTTTACAATCCGCAGTTCAACGTTGTCAACACTTGTTGTAAACAAAGTAGTTGATTCTCTCACTTGTTTTTTCATAACTTTATTTGTTAGTAATTCTAGATTTTTTAATCTGTTAAAACGTACAGTTTCAACACATGTAATTCCCTGTGTAGACAGTGTTTTGATTAATTCTAAACTAGTATACCAGTTATCGAAGTATAACTTATGCCTTTTTTGCCTTTAGACATTTACTAATAAATTCATCACAATGTTTCGTGATGCTTTTAAATCAGGTTGCCTTGGACAAACATCAATAGGGCCAGTATGAATTTCAAAACTGTGTACATGACCATTAATTCCTAATAAAACATAAACCTTAAATCCCCATTTTTGGGGTTACATTGGGTTTTACTGTTTAATAGACAATTTACCATTATAAGGAACAACCTGCTCATCAACACATAACATTTCTTCGTGTTTCAGTTATGAAAAGGAGTCCTTCAACATACTAATAAGAGGTAGGACCTTGTACAAACATGTATACATGTTTATTTTTAAATGTATCGTTGTCATTGCAACAAAAAGTAACTTGATTTGTTCAAGTCTGTTGACTGACATAACTTTTCCAATTTTTTCAAAGTATAACTAATTGCTCCAATACATTCTAGTTGATGGCATTCGAACAATGCTAATAGCAACTAGACTTATACTCATCGATAAATTTTAAATTTCATAGTAAAATATTTTGGCGTTCAAAAAATATGACCATATAAAGTTTAAACCTCATTCCTTTTGAGGGGGTTGCAAATTTTATATGGTCATAATTTTGAACGCTGAGAAATTATACTATTAAACCTAAAACTTTTCGATGAATATAAGTCTATTTAAAATAGTATAAAAAATATTTCATCAACTTGTTGCTCTTACGTTTGGGGCAGAGGACGCTTAAATTTTGGGTTTTTTATGTTCCCAGGCTCCAATCATCCTTATTTGACATAAGTATAAACATATAAATGTTTGGAGTATGCCAAAAAATCCTGGCGCCACTCCTGTATATATATATATATATATATATATATACATATATATATATATATATATATATATATATATATATATATATATATATATATATATATATATATATATATATATATATATATATATATATATATATATATATATATATATATATATATATATATATATATATATATATATATATATATATATGTTTATATACATATATATACTTCTAAAACAATTTAATAATTGTAACCATTTCCTTATATATTTTTTCTCAGTTGTCATTTTTATATATATTTATATGTTACGATTATGTAAAAAGTTTTATATGAGACTCGCCAATAAGGCTAAATGTGCTTTCTCCCTGCTCTAGCTATTCATTTTTGATATACCGTCAGCTCGGAATACAAGTGCCTATTAAAAGTTTATTAAAATTATATACAAATATAAAATTATCTAATTTATGTTAATTTAAAGTTATGTAAATTTGAAAAAATATTTTTTATATAACGCTTCAATACAACATCATACAAAATGATTTTTTTTTTCATTAACATAATGTTAATTTTACATAAATAAAATAATTAAACATATAATTTTGATAAATTTTCGAAACGACACTTGTATTCCAAGCTGACGATATGCGTATGCATTGTATACATTTTTTAACTGCGAAGAAAACTAATTTAAAAAAAATACATATTTATACATACTTTTTTTGTGCTGTTTATTTATTCATTTGTTAAAGGAACTTGAATTTTGGGGCGTTGATGAATTGATGATGCAGCCTTGTTGTTGGCCAAACTACAGCGAATACAGAGAAGTTAATAAAAACTTAAAAATTTTCCATGTTGAAGAAGAGGAGCATTACTCAACTGAAAATGAACTTGATGAATTTTTCAAAGAAAGAGAATCACAAAAAAATATTTCAAAAAAAATCTGGGATTTTTTAGAAACACCAAAAAACAGTTACTACGCAAATGTATGTATGTGTATTTTTGTTAATTTTTAAAATTCTATTCAGAGAAAAAAGTTGACATCAAATTATGTAAAAAAAACAACAAAACAAGCCTTAAATAACTGCTACATTTTACAATAACTCTTCTTTTAATTGAGAGTTGCTTTAAAGTCATTTGTTATTAAAGACTTTCTTCCATTATGCGCAAAAAGCTATTTGTATATTGACATGAGCATCGTAGTTATTTAAGATACCTATGTCAAAAAGCACAAAAATACAACATTTTTATATTAATGAGTTAAGTTTAAATTTAAATAGCAGTTTAAAAGCGTGTTTGGTTTAACATCGTATTGCGTTTTGCGATTTCGCCTGATAGTGGAGAAAAGCCTTAAATAAAGCTTAAGTCGCTTTACGTAACTTAATTAAACTACTAGGTGTTGCGTGGTTAAATGAGAAAAAAATATAATACTTTAAGATATATAACATTTTTAAAAAAGTTACTGCTTTTTAAAAATAAATTTGCTTTTGATAATACAATTTGGAAGAATAAAAATTATAAAGTGAATCAAAAATATTTTTATAAAAAGTTTGTCTTTATTGATAAAGGGGTGGACAGAGACAGAGAAATAGGGACAGAAACCAGAATAATTTTTTAAATATTCACAAAATGACAGAGAGAGTAAATAGACTAGTTAAACTTTTTTCTATCAATTATGACTCAGGCTCATGTAAATGGTAAAATTAAATTTGGCTCTGACATTACCTATTGCAGTAAGTCATGTTTAAAAAAACATAAAAAAATTAAGTATAAAAATCTTTTTTGGCACAGGCAAAAGCACTGAAGGTGTAGTTGTGAAACTTTACCCCGTTTTTGCATAAACAATTTAATTCAAATGTTTTAAATTAAATTAAATTACAGAACACACATCTAACGTAAACTAATTAATTTTGATTAATTTCAAATTTGAAGGAAAAAGTAATCACTATTTCGGTGAATAAAGATTACTGCTAATTTTGCCAAGAGCTAACAAAAGAGGAAAAAATCTTGGCCAAGTTGATTATGTTTTGTACTCTGTGGAATGTCTGGGAACATTTTTAATCTCTCTTTTTTCTTCCTTAACTTGAAGGAAAATCCCTGTTCAGCGATTTTCAAATATTAGAATGTACGAATGAACTCTTTAACATATATATTTTAAAATTTAATGCACACTCAAGGGAATGGCAAAAATTCCCATAAAGTTTACCAACCTTTGTTTGTACCATAGACAGTGGTACCTGTACCAACTTTTTTTAATGTTAAAAATATTCCACATTTCCATTTTTTTTTTCAGTTTCCAAATATTTAAGTATTAAAAAACGATGCTCATTTTTGTACTTTAACAATTTATTTTTTATGAAAATTTTATTGTTAATTTGTTTTCATTACGTGCCACTGTGCTTCATTTATTTTTTTACATATTCATACAAGGCTGAAAAGTAGTAACTTTGCTGCTTCGAAATGCACCTTTTAAAAACTGCTTTATTAAAAACTTTAACATTTTGTTGTTGTATAGTGAATGAAGGTTTGAGTCCAATTGTGCGCCTGTTGTTCACACTAGTTAGAGTTAAATGTTAACAGTGCACTTTAGGTACGCATACCCAATTTTAAAATCTTGAATAGTGTTTTTTTAATAACTTTATCAGAGGCAGAATAGAGACAAACATTTAAAACAATTGGTATCTATATTCACTCTACATGCGGTGTCAATAAAGACAGGTAGAAATCAAAAAAATTATTAAGGTTAGCCATTAATTTTATTTATCAAAAAATGTAATCACAAAACTATATCCCAGTCAGTGGGATATCCCAATCACAAAACTATATCCCAGTCACAAAACTCTATCCCAGTACCAGTAAAAACATTAAAAAATATCCCCATTGATTCCGTTTTACGGTAAGTATTTAAAGGGTTGAACACACTTGTTCTTATTTGAAATTATTTATAACGAGTTATTTATTTGTAAGAGAAATATTCTTAGCGAAAATATTGTAGCGCAAATTAAAAGTAACTTAAAATGGATAATTCATCGCCGAATCCTAGATTTTTACATTCATTAACAATTTAAAATTGACGCAATTCAATTTAATGTGACCTTTTTTAATTAGATAACATGTTGAAGTGCGTTTAGGCAGAAAATCTTTTTGAATTTTTAATGTGGAATTTGCGTTGGATGGCCAATTTGAAGGGACGGAAGTTAAGTAGATTTTAAAGGTGTTCATATGTACAATGGGTATAAAAGTTGTATGCTTGCTTGTGCCGACAGGTGGAAAATCATTAATCTTATTGCGATATAAACAATACTGATAAACCGATAAGGGATCGTCCATAAAGTACGTACGCTCGGAGAGGAAAAAGCAAATGGCGTTTCTGAGATAAGGGGCAGTAGGTCAATTATAAAAGTATGGTGACACTAAATTTAGAAAAATATCATAAAATGTAGGGTTAGTAGGTTAAAAGTGTAGGTACTTTTAGGAAGGTAGAGAGTACTCAAAAAAGCGTACGGCAAATTGCGAGTGGGGGGGCTTTAGGAAAAAAAAGCGTACGTACTTTATGGACGACCCCTAATATAAACATGAATAAAATTATATAGCTAATCTTATTGATAAACTCGTATAAAAATGCTTATCTTGATAAAAAAAAGGTGCTGTTTAGAAAGAAGTCCAGGGTCTATAAAGTTCATTAACGAAAGAGAAGCTCGAGCAAAAGATCTTGAAAAGTAATGTCTTAAGTCAATTAATTCAATGAAAAAGAAAAAAAATCAAAGGCAAACAATTGTCATTTTGGTCCGATTCTTCAAATAGTCTGTCAACACATTTATTCCACTTGAACTTAAAGGTAATTCCTCATTTCCGTTTTTAAAGCCCACAAATGAACTTCCGTTTTGTGGTCTACTAAAAATCAAAAAAAATCAAAAACATTGGCTCAAGATTGACTTAATTCTGAGATTGCAGATACAACTCATCTCACCAAAGAAACTTAGAAAAAGTAAGATCAAGCTCAACAGAAGAAAACTTGAGAACTGTAAAAAACTAGAATAAAGGAAATCTGCTTTAAACATACAAAAATTGAAAAGAAACTGTAAATCAGAAAAAAGCCTGGTTGACCGTCAGTAGATGTAGATTAACCTTTTCTTTATGAAGTTGATTATTGATATTGCTGTCCACGGTTCAACCGCTGATGATATTCGTCGTTTAGAGGTTCTCTGGGTAAAATGTTTCACGAAATAAATCCCATTTTCTGTTCAGGAGTTCATTAAATCTAATTACATTTTTTTATTACTTAGAGAGTTAAAACCCTTGAAGAATTGACATCAGAGATGAGAAATATTGGATTCCCAGTTAGCAACAAAACCCTCCATACTCGTTTACTTCCTAGAAGAATTAGAACATCAAAAAGCACTTTAAAACAATCCCTGTTAATCAAAGTGATTAACAGGAATTGTTTTAAATTAATGTTAATCCCTGTGATCAAAGAATGAATCTCATTTAAAACATGTTTATGGACTCTTCTGCAATTTAACTATGAAATAAGTGGAAAAAGTTTATTATTTTTTGGGGTCATCATTGTAAAAACCCATATTTTATTTAAGTTGTGAAAATGTGGCAATTGCTTTTGTAGTCGGACTAAAAGAAGCTCTTACTTTATTATAATTATAAAGCAATATTCTTGTGCCACCTGTCACACTTGTGCCCTTGTGCCACCTGTCTTGGTTAGCCAAACAAGAGTCGGACTTAAAGCAGTAAATGTCTTAGAGTTGTTTCCATCATTCCTGTTTATGTTTATCGACCAGCCAAAGGATTCCCAATTCTTTCCTACGATGCCTTGTGTCCATGAATTCAGTCTAATAAAGTTAATGGAATCTAAAAAAGTAAAATATCTACTTTGCTTATCAATCCCACCTGAAAAGATCTACTTTGCTTATCAATCCATGCTGCAAAAAATCTGAATCTGAATATACCTTTAATTTGTGAATAGCATTGACTACCTATTATTTCAATCAAAGATCACATTACCAACTTCTCGGAAGATGAGTGAGTGGATTTATATTATAAGTTTAGAATAATATTTTCTCAGTTGAGTATTTGATGAGATCTTCAATTCTTAATAATTCTTTTAATAATTTTAGGTGAAACTGTCCACGATTATCAGAAACACAATTTAAATTCATAAAAATGTAGCTTATTTCTACAAAATCTAAAAACCAATATATGTCATATTTTTCTTCGTTAATTCAGGACTGTTAAGAACAAATATATAATTAAACCAGAAAAAAATTGATGATATATACGTGTTTTTAATTTTATTTTACGAGAAGAGAGAAGTGGGTTCAAAGAACTGACATAATTTTTAATTTAGGGTTAGCCAAAAAGGTTTTAAAGATTTTTTATGACACAATTGAGTACTATTCTGCAGTTTTAGGTTCCCCAAAAATGCTGTATCAAATTACCCCGTTCTTGCTAATATTTAATAATTGCTTTATTTGTAGTATCAATTTGTTTTTTCAATAGTTTTGCTTAATAGAGTAAAAGCTAATGGATACTAGTTTATAAAATAATGTTACCAATAGGCACATTGAATAAAAAATCTTAAAACCTAGCAACTTTAAATACTAATAAATTAATTTTTCATTAAAAAAAAAAAAAAAAAACTCGATCCTTCGGACGTAATGGTATCAAATGATAAATTTTTTTTCAAAACGTAATACTAGTAGTAAGTATTTCACCATATTAAAGTAACATTTCTTAAGGTACCTTTGCAATTACGATGTTTCATGGTGCCCCATGTATTATTATGCCCCAATCGCCCCTACTCTCAGGTTTTGAGGCTTTTTTTTTTTTTGAACCAGTAATTTGTATTTGAACCAGTTCGTTTTTTTTCTTTGTTGTGTTTAATTGTTTGATTCGACATTATACCAAGACTTTATGAGCTTTTATAGCAGCAAAGTTGGAAGTCATAACATCGTAATTAACTTTTTTTCACAAAATCTGTTAAGATTGAAAAGATAAGGCGATCTTGTTCCATGGTGGCTCTTAAAGAGAATTTCAAGAGCTAACTTAAAAGATCTCTCGCTTTCAGCCACAGATACTGGCAAAGTAAGAAAAATACGAAGACAGATGCATATCTTGGGGAAATTTCCTTCGCATAAATGCTATTTAGAAGATTTAAAGGCCGATAATTTGTCAGTAGATAGCGTTGAACAGACAAAAAGTGGCGGACTATAGCTCTAAGTGGCGAACTATAGCTCTTTTACTTGAATTTTTTTTTAATTAAAGAAGATGAATTGTAATTATTTTTATTTTTTATTTTAAATCAAGACCTGTTTTAAATACCTTAACTTTTCAACAAAGATCTTTTTGAACTGAGACATTTACTTTTAAATTTAGGCTTTTACTTTTTAACTAAGAACTTTATTTTTCAACTGCGACCTTTGCTTTTTAGATTGTGGCCGGTGTTAACATATTTATAGTGGTTCTATCTATAGCTACATTTTGTTTGTCAACAGAGAAGTTATTTAGTAACCATAATGAATTGTTTGCATCATTTGAGAAATTTTACTGCACTTTTTTTACTTTGGACTTGGTTTTAAGAATATTATGTTGTCCTTCAAAGATTAAACTTTTCAAAGACTATCTCACGTGGTTTGATATAGTCTCGCTTTTACCTTTTTATTGTGAACTTGCTTTTAACTTAGAAGAAATTAGATTTTTGCTACCTTTTCGGTTATTTCGCATTTTTCGGCTGCTTCGTTACGTCAAAAATTTAAGAGGTATGATAGTAATAGGCGAGACATTAAAAGCAAGTTTTGAACAACTGTTGTTGCTAATCTTAGTGCTTACAATTCCAATGGTAGTTTTTGCAACGATGGTATATTATGCTGAAAAGGTATTTTATTTGATAAGTTTTACAACTTTTTATTTCATTGTACTATTTTAATTATGTACAATTGTTTTAATTTTCATTCAAATGTTTGTTAACTTCATAATTTTAAATTGAATTTTTTTTTTTTTTTGATAGTATTATTTTTCTTGTTAAATAGATATTGCAAAGGTATTGCAAAGATATTGCAGTAGTATTGCAATAATATTGCAAGAAATTATAGCTTTAAATTATTTAATAAACAATATTTTGCAAAAAAAAATTTTTTTATAATTTTAATTTTATAGTACAAATTCAAATTAATTTTAATATTTCTAATAACTAGCATTTATATTTATTTTGATATTCTTTACATTTTAACTGTGCCATTAGAAAAACAAACTTCCATAGAAACTTGTTTGATAAACTATGTTTTAGATTCTACTTTAATTTAGCCGTGATATTTCGGTTATCGGTAAAATGCAAACCAGCAATTTAAATATATATAAGTAGTAAACTCTTATTTTATATATTACTTTGTGTAGATACAACCATTGACCTTTAGGGAAAACATGCAGTGAAAAAATGTGGATACATCGATTGAGAGTTGCGGGGTTGAGGGGTTGCGGTTGATTGGGGTAGTGTTTAGTCATAATCATAGTCTTAAAAATGATTATGAAATCTATTTCATAATTAACTACCAATTTTTTTAGAAAAGATTTATTTTTAGAAAATTTATTTATTATTTTTAGAAAAGATCATGATTCGCGCTATCTTAGCTGCAGTGACGAATCTACGGATGTATATATATATATATATATATATATATATATATATATATATATATATATATATATATATATATATATATATATATATATGCGTGCTTTTTCATACAACATATATAATCTGTATAACATATAACATATATTGTATGAAAAAAAAGGTGCTACTCAAAATAGTAATCAAATTATAATTTTATTCTAAAAAAAGATTCTCGTTCGACATTTCGAGTGATCTTTTTTGATCATATAAAGTTTTCTTTCGATTACTCATTGGTGAATGAACAAAACTAGTTATTCACAAAACATTTAAGTCTTGTTTTTTGTCAATAGCTAGTAACCTTTAGTAATGTTTTGCACGAAAATTTGAAGGTAACATTTCAACACGTAATATCATATTAAAGATAATGACCCTATTTATATTTTTGTGAATTCTGTTTTATTACACATTACTGCTTTTTTTGCGTGTAATAAATAATAAACATCAGTTACTAATCTAATGCATTAAAGTTATTGAAATCTATTGACAATAATAATTTCTACTATATTTTTGAACAAAAAAGACACTTTGAAGACATAGTTGTTGATATCGATCTTAGAAGAAAAATTATTTTGTAATAAATTACTAAACTACGTGTTTAAACGTATCACAACATTCTCATTTAAGAATAACATTCTTTAATACAAGTTTAACACGCTATTTTTTGCTCGCTGTTTGCTTGTAAACGTTTGCATAACTTGAGCTAGTTAAATTTAAAGAGTTAATGAATGACAACAATTAAGTTAGCTACTTATGCAGTATTAGTTAAAAAAATTACAAACACATTTCCATGATGTCATTATTCATCAACAATATAAAATAGTGTATAAATAAAACACTTGATACAAAGATGAGAGAAGAAAAATGTTGTTAATCAATCTTTTTTTATTGACCTACTAAGGTATTAAGGTATTTTTATTAAGTCTACTTTAGGTATTGTAGTTTATCCTTCTCCGGCTAATATCCATACAGAGGCCACATTAACAAGGCCTTAAAAGATGAGTTCAGCTCAAAAAGTTCAGCTCATTAAAGAGCATCACAACCTGCATCGCAGACCAAGAGTAAGTGATATTAAGAAGAACGAAGATATAAGAGCGTAAGTCACGAAGAGGTCGAGTTAGAAACATAGCATAGAGATAACGGAAAGTTTATTCAACTATTTAGACTAGTGTTGAAAACTGCACTTTAAGCCTACTTTAAAGGAAAACAACTTTGCATTCCAAGTTATTTATAAAGTTGTTACCAAAACGTATGCTTGTAACTTTATGAGCCTTGTGGTTCTAACAATTGAATGAGACGGAAAACTTGTAAATTAAAAAAAACGTTTAATTTCTTCAAAATTATTATTAGTTTGCAAGGTAGAAGAAACGTTATTAAAATCAATATTATCAAATACATACATTCGGAAAATGCATACATTTGGAAATACAATTCGAAATGCAAATAAAAAATTTGACAGAGAATCTACCATGAATGGAAATTTTTAGAAATGCATAGGAGAATCCAAGAAAATATTGCTAACAAATTAAATGTTTGTTTCTCTGTTCACAATTTGAAACTGGAGTTTGAAACAAGTAAGACATTGTTAAAGTTTTAACATTTTTGGTGTAATCAAATAAGTTTGTAGAAAAATAAACTTTTAGCAGCTCCTTCGATGAATATTTCCTAACCACTGTTAAGTGCACTTGACATTGGAGCCTCTCTGGTATTGCATTTTTTAGTTCAGTGTTGGCTGAGCATCGATTGAGTCAATTTAACGACCGTTAAACCGTTTTTATGAAGAAGTTTGTTTAAATAAAAGCACTCATAAACAATATTTTAATGCTGTTTATAATAGTAGTTTAAATAAAGTATATTAACTAAATTAAAAAACCGTAAAAAGCGTAAAAGTGCTACTTTGATGTGCAAGTTAAATAAATAAAAAAGAATAAACAACTGAAATAGATAAAATGACTTTAGAGTTATTTAAGCACAAATGTTTTTCAAGTATTAAAAAAATTTTTTTTACAAATTTTTAAAAAATTTTTAAATTTTAAAAAATTTTTTTATACAAATTAACTAAACAACTTTGACATTTAAATCCCTTTGAATAGATATTTTGCATTATTGATCCTCGATATGCAATACTTTACATCGTATATTAAATTTCCGAGACAATTTATATGTGTTTCCTATATTTGCTCTTAAATAATAAATTTCATTTATATTTTTTAAAACTTAAAGGTTGAAGGTTGCTGGAGAAAGATTATTATTGATTAGATACATAAGAGTTAAAATCTGATATGTATTTATATTAAGTAGGGGAGATGGGGGTGCATTGATCGCCGGGCCAGTATGATCTTTTAGCTTTTAATCGTTTACTTTTGCCTTAATTTAACAGAGATTGCAATTTAATTAACCATTATACTACCCAGGTAAGCGAAAGATACTATGACTCAAAATGAGGTTTTTATTTTTCAAAAAAACGAAGACCAGATATATTACTGATTTGTGGAGAAATGTAGGAGAGTGCTGCTACATCGATTGATTTATACCTGTCTTAACCCAAACCCTTAGTCGATGTAGCAGCATTCCCTTTTATGTTATCCCTAAATTAGCCAATGTAGCAGTACTCTCCGACATTACTCTCCCCAAATCAGTAATAAATTTGGTCTTTGTCTTTTGAAAAACCAAAACTTCATTCTGAGTCATAGTTTCGCTCACCTACCAAAATCCAGTTTAAGTGTTAGCAGGTAAAGGAAGTAAACAAGTAGGAAGAATCACATCTGCAGAACGAGGAACATTAGTAACTGTATGTTGTGCTTCAATTGCAATTGGAAACTCTATTCCTCCACTATTTTTCTTCCTAGGGTCAAATTTCATGATTACATGATAAAGGAAGGTCCTCCTGGATGCGTGGGATTTGCAAATCCTTCTGGTCGGATGAGTTCAGACATTTTTATTGAATTGATAAAAAATTTTGTGAGTTATTCAAACTGTTCTCATGAATCTCCAGTTTTGTTTCTTCTGGACAGCCATAAAAGTCATATTTCTGTTAGAGCTTTGGATCTTGCAATTCAACATGGAATTACAATGCTAAGTTTTCCTCCCCATTGTGCCCATAAATTGCAACCATTTGATAGAACTGTTTTTGGTTCATTGAAAAGGTTTTACAATGCTGCGTGTAATATTTGGATGGTTACAAATCCAAGACCTATGACCATTTATGATATTGTTTCAATAGTTCGCGAACCATGTACAAAAGCTTTCTTAACATCTAATATACAGAGAGGATTTCAAGGTGCTGGTATTGAGCCATTAATCCAGAAATTTTAAAAGATGATAAATATTTACCATCATCAGTTACAAATGTAGTAAACACAATTCTTGTGGAACCTGAAATGACTGTAGCACATGTTGATGACATGGAGCCTAAAATGCCTGTAGTACATCATGAGACAAGTTTTTTTGCATTGCTTCATTACTCTCAGCTGAAGTTTTGAAACCTTACCCGAAAGCATCTGCTAGAAAAAGAAGTGTTAAAAGTAAGCAATTAAAAACAAGGAATTTGACTGATACTCCAATCAGAAATGAAGTTTGTTAGTCAGAAGAAAAGAAAACCTTAAAACAAATCAACCAACAAAAGAAACACATCGCAAAAGATAAAAAAAGGGGAAAAGTTAAAAACTACTTGCTTAGGAACAAAAAACAATGTAATGTAAAAGCAGCATCACTACTTGACTTTGACAAAGGATGATAATACAAAAAAATAATCTTGTAAACTTTAGTTCTAATAAAAGTCTTGTATGAATCTTGTAATTTCTTTGTAAACTTAAAATACTGTATTCTTATAGACTTTATAAGCTTCAAGTTTTGTAAAACTTAACACATATATATGTTAGTAGTATATAACGGGCTTATTTTCATTGATAAAATTGTGGTCATTCTTCAAATGAAAACTTTATACGCTGGTGTGTATTAGGTTGTAATGATATTTATATACATATATATATATATATATATATATATATATATATATATATATATATATATATATATATATATATATATATATATATATATATATATATATATATATATATATATATATATATATATATATATATATATATATATATATATATATATGTTTTAAACTTTACTTTTTTTTAGATGTATTATATAATAAACACTAATACCCTTCAACTAATGCATTTTTAGCACTTAGGTATAGCAGTATTAAAAATTTAAATGTTACTCATATAAGATCAAAGCGGCCCATATCGGAGATCATAGTACTCCATTGCATGGAGTACATTGATCTTTTGCAAGGGTTGTTGTTATGTTGAAATATACCATGTTCATCTAATTTTTTTATTAAAACATTTATTTTTACTTAAAGACAGATTGTTCTAGCTTAGTTTAGTAATTAATAAGTTTTTATATCTAGATCGTGTTGCTCGCAGTTTTCAAAATACTGCAAGGGCGATCAATGCGCCTCTCCCCTACTTTTTTTATTTTCGTATTTTTATAAAGGGTTAGTGTGTTCGCGCTTATTTTTAGTGTAAATCAGTTACGTGAATTAATGAAGTGATTCTAATATTTAATAATATATAATAATTATTCAAACGTGTAATTTAACACGCTCGAATATCATGTTCGAATAGTTTTGATAGAACAAAAAGTATTAATATAGGTCTATAGTTGGTAATGTTTGATTGATTGTGACATTGTGTAAAGGAACTACTTTTTAATTTAAGTAGATCACAAAAATCCCAAATGCTGTAGAGTGCTTTAGTGTGTAGATCTGAGACATGCCTTGATTTTGTTTAAAATAACTATATCACTACATGCTTCATCAAATTCTGGTGTAATTTTATTTTTATAAATAACTTCTTTTTAAAAAAGCTTCTTCAAATTCATTTTTTGCTAAATTAATTTTACGTATTGTACGTATTTGATTAATGTGGTATTTTTTTTTAATAAGGTTGTTGTAAAAATAATTTTAATTTTTAAAACTTTTTTTTTTGTCAGTGTTTTTATTATTTCTTTATTGTTTTTTTTTGAGCATTTTCAGAGCACCAAAACTATTAGAGCAGTGAGGCTATTTTATATCTACATATCAGCAGTAAAACAGAATGTATATATTTATAAACTGACATTCTTTACAATATTTACAACAAAGATATAGACTTTAACATAAAACTTTAGTTTGTGGACTCACTTTCTATAGACTTTTATAGATTTACAGACATTTTATTGGTCTGAAAGAAAAAAAAGGATTACTCCTATAGAATCAAATCTAATAAACTAAATATTTTAAACTTAACAGAAAACTTTCGGTTAGAAAAATTGTTTTAAAATATTTTAAAACATTTTATTGGCTAATCATTACACATTATTATGGGTAACTTTTATGGGTAATTTATTGGGGTAAACTTTCTGGGTAACTTTTCTGGGTAACTTTTTGGCAAAAATTTTCCGTTTTTATATCAAAGTCTCAGGAAACTTATAATATGTCATATTATGAAAACATTTTAGCATTTATAAGTATGTTTTATAATAATATAGCATATCAAATAAACATATTATATATCCTGCATATATATATATATATATATATATATATATATATATATATATATATATATATATATATATATATATATATATATATATATAAAGAGTTTTATTATTTGAAAAAATACAACTTTACAATGGTATATTTATAAATATATATATATATATATATATATATATATATATATATATATATATATATATATATATATATATATATAAATACGATGGTATATATATAAATTTACGATGGTATATATATAAATATATATATATGTATATATATATATATATATATATATATATATATATATAAATACGATGGTATATATATATATATATATATATATATATATATATATATATATATATATATATATATATATATATATATATATATATATATAAATACGATGGTATATATATATATATATATATATATATATATATATATATATATGCAACTTATATTTATATTGAGTTTTGTATTTGAGGCTTTTTTTTTATTACTTAATTTGTTTAAAAAAACTTTTTCAAAAATTGTCCTATTACATAACTTGCACATTTAGAACAGATTTAATTAATTTTAATAAAATAGTTTTTTTTACCAGCGTAAACCCAATTTTATTGGTATTTTCAGCTTCTTTTTAGCATAAAGCTACCATTTTATATATATTTTAGTATTTTTAATGTCAGTATAATATTTCTTGTTTGACTCAAGATAAAGTTAGCTTATATCTGTTATTTTCAAACTTAAGGGTAGTTACCCCTTAATCATATGAAAAAAGGGCTCTCTGGTATGGACGCCATGGTCACGCCAAATATATGTTTATTAACTACAATTGTTGCGTAGCAATAGTTTATTCAGTTTAGTTTAATTAAAATTTTTTAACAGAAAATAAATACAAACAAAACAAGAAACGCATTATTTATAGATATAAAATCTTAAAACAGAATTTCACAATTAATCAGTTGCTCAATAAACTAACGTTTATTGAGCAGCTGATTAATTGTCAGTTTATTATGAAAAAATAAAAATTGACTAAAAGTACCACAGTCTGAAACATTTTTATCTAAATCAGAAAAGAACTTAGTGACAGCAATTTAAAAAAAATACGCTAGTATTTCGAATCTAAACTTTTCGGGCAATTATGAAAAACTCCAAAAAACTTAATCAAAATAGTTAAAGTTTGGCTTTATCAGCCAGATCAAAACAAAATTAGCTTCGGCTAATTTTGTTTTGATCTGGTTGATCAGATCAAAACTAAATTAGCTGGGCAAGTTTTGCGACATCGGTTATGAAGGAGGCGTGAACTTCCTATTAAATGTTCCCTTTGTGATAAGACTGTAAGGGCTTCTTTAGGCAACTAAATAAAAAAATAAAAAAATAAAAAATAGTGTTAGTGCATTAGTAAAATAAAGCAGTATTTACCACAAAATTTAATTCCAAAACAGATTAAAAAAATTATAATGGTAATTTATAGAAGTTTGCGAGATAATAAACTATTATTTGAATATCTACATGATAAGACACAAAATCTGAAAAGTTTCACCGTATGGTCCAGAGTTCTTTGGAACTCTGTACCATACGGTGAAATTTTACATATTTCTCTTCTGACACTACTGTCAGAAGAGAAATTTGGAGAAGTAAAAACTTACTTTGCTGTATTTTTGGATGTTTTTTTAAAAGAGTCAACAGTAAAAGACAACATTTTGACTTTTGTCAACTCTTGTGTGAGACAAACTTCAACACCAGTATTCAAAAGGATAAAAATAAGTGAAATAAAATCAATCAATACTACGTTTTGGTGAATACTAAACAAGATTTTACTAAAAAACTCAAATATGATTTTTAAAAAGTTCTCTTTTCCACAATACAACAGTAATTTTGAACCTCATGTTTATTTTGGCTAATCATTCGTTCCTATAATTAATAAGGTATGCTAAAGAAAATTGGTTAATAGATGGGATTTTCAATATTCCCGTTCAATACTTTTTTAATATAAAAATTTAGTATTTTATTAATTATAATTTTAATTACATTTTTTTACAAATTTTCAAAAATTTGTAAAAAAATGTAATTAAAGTTATAATTAAAAAAATATTTTTAACTGATGATCATTTATAATATTTTTAATGTTTTAGATATTGCAACAAGAAATAGAATTAAATCTTACAATGCTTTGATTCAATTCTTATCAATTTATTCAAATTAACAAGAATAGAATCAATAAACAATAATCAAAAAATCTTTCCCAATCAATAACAAGAACAATCTTTGACAATTGCGCCAAAAAAATTATTTAAATAAGTTCAACAAATTCAAGAATATATGTTTTTCAAGTTTTTTCAAATTCAAGAATATATGTAACCAATTCAAGAATACTTACTTTTTTTTTTTTTTTTTATTTTACAAAAATGGTATTGTAACATCAAGTTGTTACTATACCATTTTTGTTTATAAGACATATTAATGATTTTTGTTAATTTTATTAATATTTTAACAACATGCTATAACAATAACCATTTTTGTTTATAAGACATGTAAATGATTTTTGTTAATTTTAATAATATTTTAACAAAAGCTTCTAAGATTTTGTTAAAAAATTGTTTAAAATTCTAACCGTTCATAACGCAACTTTTGTTATCCTACCTATAAGTGTGAATTTTTTTTCTATCATTTGTATAATGTAGTATAAATAAAATTTTGACATTTAGAACACAATAGATTCTAAATTTGAGAGCATTCCACGTTCGTTCTGGTGGGCAATAATAACTCTGACCACCGTCGGTTATGGAGATATGTCGCCAGTTTCTTTGGCGGGAAAAATCATAGGTGGATTTTGTGCAACTTTCGGTATACTTATGTCTGCACTTCCCATATCTGTAATTGGAAGTAATTTTTCTTTTTATTATTCCTACGCAAAAGCAAAAATGGAACTTCCAAAGCACGAACTTAAAATGTTGGTAAATGCAGATCAAACACTGAAAGGAAAAACAGATGGTAAGAAAAATTTCTATATTGCAAGTAAACCTTTTTTTTCGTTTATACAACCTCAAAAAATAGCTTAGTACAAGTACTTTTCAGTTTCGCTATATTTTATCAAAAATAGTCGGTAGGGTTGATTTATATAGGAAAAGATGAGCAGTGTGTGTGTGTGTGTGTGTGTGTGTGTGTGTATGTGTGTGTGTGTGTGTGTGTGTATGTGTGTGTGTGTGTGTGTGTGTGTGTGTGTGTGTGTGTGTGTGTGTGTGTGTGTGTGTGTGTGTGTACATATATACGTATTTAAGTATATACTCAGTACCGTCCATATTAATTCGAATGGTCATAAATTTCAATATCAGATATTAAAGTTTTACTCACTGTTGGGAGATAAACTAAAAACAATATCAACCTGAATTATATGTTATTTTCCTATTTATCAAGTTTACATTAAAAAAATAATAATATAAATTCCGATTAGATTAGTTTATACATGGCCTACTTAAATTAAAACTTTTGATTTAAGTAGGCCATGGTTAATGTAAGTAGGGTAAGGTAAATAAGTAGGTTAAGTAGGTTAAGGCCATGGTTAAGGTAATTTAAGTAGACCATGGTATATTACTTGCCTATTTAATCACCCTTAGCGACAATAACTATTGTAGATCTTATTGGCATATATATATATATATATATATATATATATATATATATATATATATATATATATATATATATATATATATATATATATATATATATATATATATATATATATATATGTATATATATATATATATATATATATACATATATATATATATTTGCTATGAGCATTTGCTTTTTATCTTTTGCTTTTACTCAAGGCAATTGCTTATGAGCAATTACCTTTTTTTATTCACCAGGCCTAATATGTTTATGCCATTCACTAATAAATTTTATGCCACTCACTAATACATCTTTTGCATTATTAGGCATTAGTTTTTTATATTACTTTTAATTCATCCCATATAAGTCCGATAGAAGAGAGATTTAATGTTTGGGGAGGCTAAATCATTCTATTCAATATTTGATCATTCTCTAACACAGTCAAATAGCTTATTCAATGTTTTGAAGAATATGTTTTAGATTTAAACTTTGGGTTGTTTTCTTCTAAAAAATAAATGGCTTCCCATTAACCAATTTTCCAAAGGTATAGCATAACTTTTTAGAAATGTCTAAGTATACTTTTTGTTTTTGTCATTATTCGAATAATTTTATATTTACTCAAAAAACAAATCTTTTCCATTACAAATAATTCTTGGAGAATTTCTAAAAACAAATTTTTAATGTTGTGTGAATAATAACAATAAAATAAAAATCAAATAAAAAATAAGTATAACAATAGCAACGAATTTTTAAATTTTGAAAATCCTACAATGTGAAAAAGATTAATTAACACTAAAAAATAGTACACCAGAGTTTAGTGGGAATTTATGTGAAATTGTACCTTACTAAATGCCGATGCCCCCACCAAATTTATGCTTGTTATGAGATGTCTGCACAGAATACTGTTTTTTGCAGAGATATTAAATATGACTTAGATATTTATCTGTGTCGCGTCCAAACACAAAGAACTATTAATTACTATTTGAATCAATTTTTTTATGAATTGAAGTATATATTTTTTTTAGTATATGTTTTCTATTTTTTTAACTTTTAAAATACTGTAATAAAGCTTAATCGAATTATTTGCAACAAAATATTTTGCATAAATAAATAAAATTTTTTCCGGGCAATAATTTTTGCTGTATGTTAGATTTTGATATTTCCGTATCTTGTTAACCGCAAGGTAACAAGATACAGAAATTTCAAAAGTAAAAGATTAGTATCCTTGTTCGCAAACACCAAACTTTATTTGTGTTTAAAAGTTGCCACAATAGTACCCCCGTCATTTTATTAAACTAAGTTTTTCAGTAAGTAATAACAATAGTTCTGACTACTATTTTGTAACTAGATAAATAATATATATATATATATATATCTTTTCTTTTTAAATAAAAAAATTTGAAAATTCTTCAGCTAAATTTTTAAATTTCAAAACTTTTGCAAAAAATTTAATTTTTTAGGTGAATTGAAAACACTCAATAGAAAACGCCGACATGCACTGAATGCCTACGATAGTACGTTAGAGTATCGGGATCACTCGGAGTCTATCAAATCCGTACTTAATCAAACAGTATCTTTGGCTAAAAAACCAGAAACTTTAAATTCAAGTAAAGCTAATGACTACTCGAATGAAAAATGCATCGAAACTTCACTTCAAAACAATATACATGAAAATGGCTTTGAACATAATGTAGGGCTGCGGAGAAAATCCCGTTCTAACTTAGAAACTTCTTGTATCGACATTAATGCCGAAAATCAACGTGGTATCAATGGTGGCAATTTAAACGAGAGAATAACAAAAGCTCGCTCATTCACTACAATTGAGCACAGTAATAGCGACCCAATAAAAAATGATAATCTATATTCCGTAGACTTAAATAAGTTAAATCACGAAAATAAAAGAACCATTCATCTCGATATTGGACAGTATCAACCCACAAAGTTAAGCAACCGGGATAGAGCAGACATACGCCGTAAAATTAGTCACACTCATTTTCAGAAAAATAATCCGCAAATAAATGAGATAAAACACCGTTCCTTGTCTATAATAAGACAAGAAACCGTTAACAATGAAGTATTAGTTTGGTGCGACGAATTAAAGGAAATTAGTTGTAAATGAATAATTAACTGAACGAGCCCAAAAAAAAATTATTAACTATGTCAAACTTTTTACATTCTAATAATCGTTGTTGTTAATAAATAAAATAAGAGTTAGAGACTTTAATAAGTTTCCGTAATTTTTTTAAATAAAAATTTTGAAAGTTATCATTTGTTAAATTATTTTCAAATTTTTTAAATTTATTATAACTTTTTTACATAATTTAACTTATAACACTTTTGTGATAAAGACGTTCTCTTTCTCGTGAGAAATCAATCATCAAAATCTTCTATTTCTTCATCTTCTTCTTGTAAACCACTACCAATGGTTTCAACACCTTGTTGAAAAGTTGTTTTAGAAGCCCCATTAGAAGCCGTGCCATTGCTTTCATCTATAGAATTATAATCGTCTTGATCGGTACCCAGAGAAATTCTGAAAAGAAAAATCAGTAAATGCGGTAAAATTGTCTGCACTAAAAAGTCTCGTAATCACATGACAAGTAAAATTAAAGACAAAATTTTTGTTAATAAAGTATTTATCAAGTTTATTAATTTTACTAAAAAAAAAAATAACTTGTAAATTAACAACGATCTCTACTCAAAAGTATCTTAAAGCAAAAAAATATATTTCTCAACTCCAAGTTTTAATAAATTTATTAATTAACTTCTTTCCTCGTTTTAACCAAAAACCTCGTCAAGCTTTTTTATTTTTGCTTCATGTTCCTTAAAGTACCAAGACTTTCGATAAAATCATTAACACCAATTTTGATGGTTTCGTAAATATAATAAAATTGATCTGATCGGATTTCCGTGCCGTTTAGAATTTAAAAAAATTAATTTTTAAATTCAATCAAGTTTAGAAATGTACTACTGGTTACTGCTAGTAAGATGTACTATTGGTTACTGGCGACGTACTACTGGTTACTACAGGTTACTTACTGGTAATACAGGTTACTAGCGATGTACTACTAATTACTGCTAGTAACACAAATGGCTAGAATTCAAAAACTGCAGAAGATAACTCTACCAACACTGCAATATTGCATTCAATTATATTATATAAACAACTCTACCACTATTGCAATATTGCATAAAATTATACAAAACATAAACAAATAATAATTTATTATAAATTCCTAACAACTTGACTTTAACATCAATGTTAAATAAATTTAAATTTAATTAAACGTAAACTATTTTAGTAATTTGAATAAAGTAATTTACATTTAAAACCAATCTAAACAGGGCCGTCCCGAAGAGATTTTAATTGGGGAGGGAGGGGTGACATATCTGTTTTTTGCCGACTAAAGATAAAAAAAATTTTTTGCCCGACTTTTTTTTTGCCCGAAAAAAAAACAACCTGTTTGCCGACATTTGCCGACTGCCAACTATAGATCCAATTATAGTGTCCGAATTGCCGACTAATAAAATTTGTAGCTAGACACCCACCTACGCCTTCCCCCTCGGGATGGCCCTTAATCTAATACCTCAAAAAGCATTTTAAGATAAAACCTTTTAACATCTTTTAAAAGCAAACTTTTTATTTTTAAGACCATAGCAATAAAATTTCATTTATTAAAAATTTTAGATTTGTAAAAATATAATTTTGACAAAATAAAATAAATCTATTCTAAAAAAAAAAAAGGATTTTAGAAATTAAAAAAAAAAAAGTTTTATACCTTTGAGGATGACGAGAAATTTGAAAACAAGCAATATCTCGCTCAAACGAACCTAGAAAATTTTTTTTTCTTCCATTTATAGTTTAAAGTTAAAAAACAAACCAACACTTAAAATTCAAAATCAAAAAGCTATGAACAATTTTTATATATTTATAGTTTATATATTCATTCAATATATATAATAAAAAACACTAATTAAAAGTACAAAAATATTTACAACACAAAACGTAAAACGAAAACAAAAAGGAAAAGATTTTTCTTCAGCAACCTCAAAAATAATGCGTGAGTGGTGTGGTAACAGTTTTTCACTTTCTAATCCAAAAAATAATATAGAGCAGAACGAAGAACAAAAGTTGAGCGGCTGCAACTGTTAAAGTCAGAAAAAGTAGTTAATGTAGAATTAATAAATCAGCTGAAATACGACATTGCACAGACTAGTCAATCAAGCATAAATTTTAAGAATTGGATTCAAGTTTAAAAATCAGAAAAACAAGCTAAAAACCAAATGATCATTAATAGTTGCAGATTTTACATTAAATGAATGGAATAAACATAAAAAGAAACATTCACAGAAAATAGGAGTTTGACAATTTTCAGAATGTGAAACAATTAAGAAGGAAAATTTCTCATTACTCAAGTATGGTTCAAACCTACTTCTCTCTTTTTGTTATTGTTTATGCAAAAATGATAGATGTGATAGTCGTCGAGATGGAGGTGTATGTATTTATCATATGATAATTATTTCATATGAACTTAATGATAATGCCTTTACATTGAGTCAAAAAGGCCATTACTCGGCTGTTATCCAGTTCGACAATGATAAATATCTTATTAGATGTATATATAGACCTTATGGTGCCACGAATATAAAAGATATTGAATATGCATTTTAGATTTGCTATTGATGACACTTATGACGACTAAGAAGTCATTAAACGTGTGTCATCGATGTGACACATGTTTAATGACTCATGATGTGTCAGTAAAAATTGTTTTAGTTTCTCACTCATTAGAGAAAAACAAAAAGGCACAGAAATTGTTCAAGTAAATGAAAAAATTCTTTTTTCTAAAAGTTTAATTTGAAACTTCTAAGCAAGGTGAAAGTATGAATTAATAATTGTGGATAATCTAATAAGAATACAAAAATATTATATAGATATATCGTCAGCCATGAACCAAGTAGCCGTACATTTTGTGTTTTTTCTGTTTATTATCAATTAATATTCAACAATTAATGAAGCATGTGTCCAATAAATTTAGTCTCAAGAATGATATAACTTTTAAAAATTTTTAAAAAATTAGTTTGATATTCTGGCAGAAAATCTTTACAAATTTAATTTTAAAACTTGATTTTCTCGGAAACACAAAAGATGGACATACTTGGTCTGGGTTGACAATACGAATTCACAGCAATATGTAAAAGACTCAACATCCAGAGGAGATTGCTGATCTACTGAAAATAATTTTCAAAATGTTTTTGTCCAAGAAAATAAAAATCGTAGTCCATTTTTCAAAACTCAATGATACCAATTTTAATTTAACTCCTGAAGATAGCCATTATGAAGATGTTCTTGAATAGCTAAATAATCTTGACCAAAACAAAGCATACCAAGTTGACAAGTAACATCCATCTATCTTGAATACTATGTAACTTTTATTTTTCTCTTCCTCTCACACTCATTTTTATGGAGTCAATAGAAAAAAGTCAGAAAATCAATTTAATTAAACAAGTATAACTGCACTATATAAAAGAGTGACAAGATAACTTTAAAAATACTTCAAAGCATAACAAAAAACAAGTTTGAAAAATATTTTCATAAAGATATTATAAATAATCAATAACATGGTGGTGTTAAAAAACAGGTTATGTACATAAGGCTCTTTATTGGGTCCACTACTTTGTATACTTAATATAAATGATCTACCTGAGTCTTAAAAAATATTTCAAAATTGTATGGTGATGACACAAAAATCATGTTAATTAGTTTTTCTGATGAGTTACATAACAAACTACACGACAGATTAAATTCTGCATATGCAGAATATGAAGTTTGTTGTACGATAACATAGTATTTTCAGATTTTCTTAAGCTTAGAGTATCATTTCTTTTTAAAAATCCTTTAAACTAATCTACACTAAAATAAAACTTTACATTACAAACTACAAATACGATTTTCTTTCCATTGTACATTAAGTTCTAAACAAACCGCATATTGGAATGCAAGTTGTTTGGCTAGTTTTGAAGTTGAGCACATTTTAGCGAAATTTTTTAAATAATTAGCAAGATAATATTTTTGATCTACAGAAAAGACTTTTTTATTGTCAATGTTTGGTTTATAAATAAAAGAATCAAATTCAGACAAATAACAACCTTAACAACCAATCTGTGCATATATGATTTGTTGACTTAATATGCCTTTGCAGTCCATCTTACAGAAATCTCTTTCTGGAAAAATTCCATTAACTTTCCAAAAAATCTCTGGGCTCGCCACTGTGCACGGGAGTGTGTACATATATATATATATATATATATATATATATATATATATATATATATATATATATATATATATATATATATATATATATATATAATATACATATAACTTTTTGTTTTATCTATTTTACAGATTATTAAATATGGCAATAACTTACGGAGCACATTTGAGTCACATTTGGCCATATATGGTAACACCTCTGTATAAAGTTCAAGGGCAGGATATCTTTTCTCTAAATTATTAACAAACTTAAACTCTATAAAAAAGTAAATTTAAGTTAAGTCCTAATAACTCACTACCAGATATAGAATAGCAGATATCGTTTCTATCAGAGCCGGATTTACAGGTAGGCCAAATAGGCCATGGCCTATGGGCCCCACAAAAAAAGGGGGCCTTAAAATCGAATTGCAACAAAATTACATTTTAATTTTTGGAAAGCGCATACATTTTCTTTTTTTTTTCTATTTAAAAAATTATTTATATTTAAAAATTATTTCACTTTCGTGATTAAACAAAATTAAATATTTTTAGACGAAGTTAGATAAAAGTTAAACAAAAAGCATTTTGAAACTATTTGTTCAATAGCATGAATAATAACTTTAACAACCAATCAACTCAACAATTTTATTTACCATTTAACGTTTTTTTAATAACATAACGCTTTTTTATCAAAAGTTCAACCAAGAACTTTCTAAAATATTACTTTCTAGAATGACTTGGTTCAACATATCAAACCAAGAAAATAACTATAATTAGGTCTGTTTTTCTAATTAATCAACGTTTACAACAGTAGTAAACATTATTTATTTGCAAAACAGCCTGACTAACTTTCCAGATTGATTATAAAAAAAACACACGATAGTTAATAAATTTGTTATTTTATTATTTGTGCGTAATGTTTTAAAATATTCGATTTAAAATAAAATGAATGAGCTTATTTTAAGAAAAATTTTGCACGTTTTTAGGTAAAATATTGAAGTAATTGAAGAAAGTATTTGTTTTAAATTTTAAGAAAAATTTTGCACTTTTTTAAGTAAAATAGCTAAGTAATCGAAGAAAGTTTTAAATTATTTTTTAAATTTTAAATTGCATTAAACTTTAAACAAAATTTTGGATGTAAGTAAATTAAAAGTAGAGTAAATAAGCGCGCTGCGAAAAAAGTAATCATAATTTTTTAATGTTCGTTTTCCTGTTTATTTTTTTAAAATTTTCGCTTAGCTATGTTTTTATAAAGAAAAGTAGTGTAATGATATCTACTAGTAAAATCAGTGCTCGAAAATAATAGCAATTAAATTAATTAAATGTGTTCATTTTCAGAAACTTTTAACAAATATGGGAAGAAGCTATGAAAGTGGAGTTGAAAAAAAAGAAAAGAAAAAAGCAATAATAGAAGAAAACACAAAGAAACATCAAAAACTTGATAGTTTTTTTCTTAAAAACAGAATGCCATGCTAATTCACCAACTTCAGCTAATCTTGTAAACTGTGACATAAGTAAAGAAGCAAAATATTGGATTTTTTAAAGGACTCACTTAATGAAACTCAAACTTTAAACGAACAATCAGAACTCAATAAGGAGAGTTATGTTTCCCTATTGATTTGCCATTGAATAGGAAAAGTGATACAGGACTTTGGGAAACTCTTTCAGCTGAGGATGTACAATTTTGAATAGAGAACGGTCCTTTAAAATGTCAAAATGCAGATTATAACTTTAATTCCTCTAAAATGACATATTAAGATCGCGATCAATATTGCTCAAAAAGCTTGTTTGTGGGGAAATAAAAAAAAGGTTAAACGTTTAATAGAGAATGGCTCATATATTCCCCAAGATTAGGTTGTGTTTTTTTTTTTTGTCTGCATGCTTTTTGACCTCTCAAAATGTGCTTAAGCTCCAACGGGATATAAGGATTGGAAAAATTCAGGGACATCAGGGGCATGAACACTCATCTCAGGGGCATGAACACTCATCAGACCACAGGAAAGCTTCCTTAGCATACTTTCACAGAAAAAATAACAAGGTTTTTTAAACAATCAACTTCTAAATGAAATTCGCAAAGAAAAAAACTACTAGGGAGAGGTACTAAGAAGAGTAACAGCTGTAATTTGCACACTGATCAAAAGAAACTTAGCTTTTAGAGGTTCAAATGAAAAATTTGGGTCTGAGGGCAATGGGAATTTTATTGGTCTGCTTGAGTTGATTGTACAGTTAGATTCATTATTGGCCAAACACATAAAAAATTATGGTGACAGCAGTTCTGGAAAAACAAACTACCTCTCAAATAATTCATGTCATGAATTAATCATATGGATGGCAAGAAAAGTTTTGCAATCAATCAGCGACGCTGTTTTAAAATCTAAGTATTATGGATTATCAGTAGATTCAACACCTGATGTGAGTCACAAAGATCAACTATATGTGATCTTGAGGTACATTGATCAAATTTCTAATGAGCCTATTGAAAGATTTGTCAACTTCATCCACATCGATAATCACACTAGGGAAAATTTAGCAAATGCAACCGTGAAAATTTTAAACATAAAATTGAACTTGGAAATCAGCAACTGCAGATAGTCTTATGATAACTCAAGCAATATGACTGGAAAATATAAAGGCATGAAAACTAGGATTTTGGAGTTCAATAAGCTGGCAAAATTCTTGCCATGTTCAGGTCATTCTCTTAACTTAGTAGGAGAGACTAAGTTAAGAGAATGACCTGAACATGGCAAGAATTTTGCCAGCTTATTGAACTCCAAAATCCTAGTTTTCATGCCTTTATATTTTCTATATTTTCCTATATTTTCCAGTCATATTGCTTGAGTTATCATAAGACTAGCTTCTGCAGTTGCTAATTTCCAAGTTCAATTTTATGTTTAAAATTTTCACGGTTGCATTTGCTAAATTTGACGCCATAATAAGAAAGTGCTTTTAGGTGAAAACTGATCAGAAGAACCTCAATTAAGTCCAAATGAAGAGTTTAAGACAAACGTTTTTTAAAAAACTATCAATAATCTTACTAGAAATTTAAAAGAAAGAGCTCAATACTATCAGGACAAATTTGTATTTTTAATAGACACGAGGTTCAACAAGGATAAGCTGAAGACTTGTGTTAATTGTCTGGTGGAAGACTACATAGAAGATATTGATGATAATTTATATGCAGAAATTGAACATCTACACCTGTATTTGAAAACATTTTAATACTCAAGTTTCTGAATAGTCCTATTTGGATTTGTACAAACTTATAAATGAAAACAAATGGAGGCTACATTTCTAAACACTGAAATCATTCTTAGGATTTTCATGTTTCATGATATCCAATGGCTTTGGAGAAAGGTCATTTTCAAAATTATAATTAACAAAAAATGATTTACAAACAACTATGTCACAAAAAATGTTAAACAATTTTGCATTAATATCAAGTAAAGCAGACAAAATGAAGTCAATTAATATAGATTCATTGATTAACGATTTTGTTAATGAAAAATGCAGAAAAAAAATTATGTAGATTTTAAACATTTAAAAAAAATTGAAATAAAATTTTAACTAAGATTATATATTTTAAATTAACATTTTATTTCTAAATATGAGGCCGCAAGGTTTTTTTTGGCCTAGGGTCCCTAAAACTGTAAATCCGGCTCTGGTTTCTATAACAGTATATATATATATATATATATATATATATATATATATATATATATATATATATATATATATATTATATATATATATATATATATATATATATATATATATATATATATATATATATATATATATACATATATATATACACACACACCATCCTAGTGCAGAATTAAAAACTTATGAAAAAAGTTGTCTTGTAAGAACATCAAAATTTAATCACCTGTCTGTACAGAGCATTTTAATCTGCTATGCAGCTAAAAAACAAAACAAGCCAAAACATAATTATTTTTACAATTTAGTTCAACTAAAGATTAATATAAAAACAATTACTGTTTTAAATCTTTGGAACCACTCAGGTTTATGAAGAGGTCTCCAACCGCCAGCGACTGTTCCTGTAATTGATTGCATTTGAGTATTAGTAAACATAACTCCGCGTATTCCAACTGATGCTGAATAATCACACATCACTGAGTTAGCCTAGAAAAAGTGTAGAAAATATAACTCCACATATTCCAACTGATGCCTAGCCTAGAAAAAGCATAAAAAAGTAAAAAAGGAAAAAAAGAAAAAGGAAAATTGAATTAAAGATCAAACATTTGTTGTATTGAATGTCAAAAATATAAGATCTTATGATTTAACCAAGCAACCCCAGCAAAGGAACCATAAAATTTTAACTGATACAACTCCAATATCATAAAAATATTTAAATAAATTTGTAATACCGTGATATTGAAATATTTTTATGATATTAAATGTTGTTATGATACATAACAACCAACTTTAAAAATAGTAGTAAGATTATAATCACACATATATACTTTCCTAATAAAGCTACAATAAAGCATTTCATGTGTCAGAATGTGTTTACAAACATATTTTAATAATAACACTGAAAAAATAAATCCTTTGTGACAGAGACAAAATATTAACCAAAAAAAAAAAAAAACTAAAAATAAATAAAAATCCATAGCATCAAAGTTTTATTTTCAGAAAAGTGAAATAAAGTCACTCTAAATAGATGGTCTGGAAGGAGTGACCCTATTGATCTTCAAATTTAACAACATCCATCGACATTCATTTTTTAAGGTGGCTCTATGGTTAAAAAAATAACTTCTGGATTTTAATGATAAATGTTTCCAAATAACTTTTTAAGAAAGGAATAATTTTTTTTAACAACAAATACACTTTCAAAAATTATAAAAAAACTTTTTGTTTTGCTGAGTCAGCAAAAAATAAGTAAAATATAAACACACTTTAAAAACTTTATAATTCCTAAAATATAAATCTAATAAACTTAAAAATTTCAGAAAAATTTAAATGACGTAGCCGTTTTTTAAATGACGTTGCTATGGAAGCTGAAAAGACTGTATCTTAAAAAAATAGAAATTACTCATAATATTGGATTTGAATGTATATAAAGATATATATTTTCTGAATCTATATTAAATTCCGAATAAGAAAACATAATATATATTTTTTTAATTTTTTATTGTTTTTTAACCATAGAGCCACCTTAAGTGAGTAATAATAAAATTAACAATATTTCATTATATATATACAATATTTTATTAAACTATTTGAAAAAATTACAAAAAAAATTTCTTGTGTTGCATTAAATCTTTTTTTTTTAAAACTTGAAAAAAAGTTTTTTGAAATCAAAAAGAAAAAAGTTCGTTGACAAGTTCATTACAAGTTCATTGACAAGCTCATGACAAGTTCATTGACAAGTTCATTACAAGTTCATTGACGTCAAAGAAAAAAGTAGAAAGTAAAGAAACCAAATAACTAAGTTTCTTATTTTGCTTATTAAGTTTTAATTATAAGTTGAATTTAAAAACAAAATCTGTTAAAATAAAAACTAGTAAGATTATGAAATACACAATTATGATTAGATTATGATTAAGACACAATATAATTTAAAAAATCTACTAAATAAAAAGTTTTTTTCATTTGGTATGTTTTTAATACTCATTTTGTAAAAAACAAATATGAGAATATAGACACAAAAACTCTTATTTTTATAACAAGTTATTGTTTTATATTTTTATAACAAGTTATTGTTTTATATTTTAAAAAAAAAAAACCTGTTTTTTGAAAGTTGAAAACTTTTTACTGTTTTTTATTATTATCCAAATTTTTAAAATAAAAAAATCCTATTTACACATGAATATTATTATATTACAAACAGGGCTGTGGAGTTATAGTTGTGACAATTTTAGCGGAGTTGGAGTCACTAAACAAAATCATGACTCCGACTGCAATAGTTAAACCTCTCGGTATTGCATGTGCATGTACAAAATATTTAACATTAAAAGAATTTTTCATATTTGGCAAAAAAAACTTTTTTAAATTATCACATAATATTTTTAAAAAAATTCAAAGAATTTTTCAAAAATTTTGCTTTGGAGTCAGAGTTGGATTGCTACTTTTATTATTAGTATAGAGTTGCTACTAGTATTATTAGTGTTACATATGAATAAATAACTTTTAATCTAAACAATTTTAATTCTTTCAAAAACACAAATAAGTGATTTTTCAGTTAATGTTAGTTTGATGCAAATCATTGTTAAAACTTCATTGAACATAGTTATAATAGGTACATAAAAGTTTTGAAATCAAATTAAAGTTATAACTCAAAATAACTAAAAAATAGTGATGTGAAAAAAAAAATAGTGATGTGGAACGCAGATTTCTAATGAACCTCACAAGTTTTCTTAAATTTTTTAGCAGGCCATGATAATCCACACCTTTTTGTTTGATTATATTATTGCCTATCTTTTTATTGAAACTATTGTGAACTAATTCCATTACATCTAATTCCATTATTATTGCCTATCTTTTTATTGAAACTATTGTGAACTAATTCCATTACATCACATTTTGTTGCTGGAAGCTTGTAACTAAGTTGCTGGAAGCTTGCATAAAAGATATCCTTATTTCATTAAAAATGATGGCAAACTGAAAGAAATAGAAAAATTTACTGTATAAAAAGATTTAGGCATTTATATTTTTATAGAGTTGAAATAGGACAGACAGGTAAAAAAGTACTGCCAGTAAAGCTAATAGTATGCTTGCAATATTGAATAACACTTTTAAGTACAAAGATAAATATCTCATGAAGTTGCTTTACTGCATGTACCTTAGAAAGTTTTGGAGCTTGAAATTCAAGCTTGGTATCCCTATTACATATTAAATGAAAAACATAAGTAAAAGTCTCATTTTTAACATAGGTATATAGGTACATAGGTACACAAAAGTAAAAGTCTCATTTTTAGCCGGGTCCCCGGCTAAAAATGAGACTTTTTTCAAACCCAGCCCTGGCTAAACTATAAGATTTAGCAGGGGTTGATAGCTGGGGCTACAAAAAAATCTATAATACTTTATATATTAAAATTTTATGCTTACATTTATTATTTATTAAATACTGACATATATTTATATATTTTCAAACTCTAATTTACTCCCAACAAGATTGCAAGCAACCTCTATTAAGTTATGAGTTATTTTAAAATAGAGGATAAGTAAAAATACTAGGAAACGGTTAACTGAAGACTTGAAAAGTTTTAGGTTGGATATAAAAGAAAAACATGAAGATGACTAATAGTTATAAGGGTTTTTTTATAAGCAAGGAAATAAACTGCATTAATAAAGGTTTTTATAGCATGAAGGGACAGAAATAGTAAAAGGAAGCAACTTGTCAAATAAGAAACAAGCAAGAATTAGTTTTGGTTCATCTAATAGAGATGATAGTTTGTTTAAGCATTGATCATGATTATATTTGTAGAAAAAAAGAAAAAAGAAATGCAACTTTACAACAATGGAAGATAAGCTTGGCAGATAAAGCAGGTCTAATTTATTATTATTTTTTTTTATGTAAATTTATCTCTCCAAGACTGACAACGCGAATACAGACAAGGAGGCTACTTATTTGTGGTTATAACCATCTCTCAACTATATAACTCCGAAATACAAACCTTGACAACCAAGGTCGCTGCGCAGAAAAACAAGTTGAGCTTAATACTACCAGGGACGTAGTGGGGATCGAACTTGGTACCTCTTGCTTATGACACAAGCACTCTACCACTACACTATGTCCACATTACTTTTACAATGCTTTTAGACTTTATCTGAGAGTAAGAGGGTTGTTGTTCATCAATATAGGTAAACCAACATTATTGCAACATCTTTTTGCAGTAAATAAATGAATTTTGTTCTCTAACAAAAATTGCAGATTGTAAGTCCAGATTTAAATCCATAAGCCACAGCAAGCCTTAGGCTGTTACAGAAAAGAAATCAGACTTAAAATCAGCTGCTTGTTCTAAGCAATCAAAAAGTGAAAACTTTTTTTCAAGACGAGAGTATAAAATTGAGTCATCAACAAATAGAGCCACTTTAGATGTTAAATTTACATGAAGATTGATTTTGTAGATAAGAAACAATACAGGAGCAAAGCTTTAAGGGTACCACAAGATACCTTGTGGTATACTTAAAATAAAGAAGAGGTTAGGTCTTCAAGAATAAATTTATTACTGCAGTTAGTAAGAAATAATTTAATAACCTCAAAAACTTTATATAAAAAAACTAATAACAGAATGAAGACTAATCGTAGGATAGTTGGAGAGGTCAAAGTGTTTTCTAGAGTTTTAAAAAATTGGAACCACTTATAAAGCACTATTTAAAAATTAAATATCAAATATTTAATAACTAATAAGATTAAATGTTAGACTTACTTTAGTTAATGACATTGTTGAAGACTAACCAAAAGTCTCTAAAACCTAACATCTGATATAAGATACAAGATTTAGTAAACTGAGAATAACAGAGCTTAACATCAGATGGGACCATTTTACGGTTTCTTGGAATAAAAAAAAGGACATTTGTTCTTAAGAGTGAAGACTAATCATAGCACTTAAGATGTTCTTGTAAAAAAGAAGAAATAAATTGTTAATAAAGCAACTGTTCAAGATTGTGAAAAATATGGAACAGAATTAGGTTTGACTTTTGAATAATAGGAAAAATTGAATAGTAGGAATAAAAGCTTCCAAACTTAAATAGTAGGAATAAAAGCTTCTAAGATGCGCTTTATGCATATATATTATGGACATAAACACATGTTTGCTATTTATTTAGATGCTGGAATACAATATCCTTTCATATTTATATAAACTTTAGCATTTATATGGCATAGTATTTGCCAAAAGAAAAGAAGATGATGATGATGATGATGATGATGATGATGATGATGATGATGATGATGATGATGATGATGATGGTAATGATGATTATGATAATCATGTTGATTATAATGATGTTTATAAATGCATATATTTTCAAAATATAACATGAATTTTGAATTAAATATATTTTAGGCTGTATAAATGTTAATGCAATCCCGGTCACAAACCTGGCCCCGGCCCTGGCTATATTTTATCAAACCTGGACATTTATTACTATTACACAAAAGATAACCAAGAACT